GCTGGTTGCTCTACACTCTGCCCTTGTTCGTTATTATATGGTGGAGCGAATTCAGTAGAAGCTGCATAAGAAACCTGGGGCGGTCTATAACCGGCCCGAGCGTCAAATGAATCCAATGCAAATTCCATGGGTTGATGTGACGGATATCGAGATACTGCAGTAATTGGGGAAATTCGTTGGTGTTGGATGAGCAATTGCTTCGGAGAACGCGATGGCGAAGGTTGAGGTGTGGATTGAGGGTCTTTTGTTATCGTGACATCGTGTTCATCATCCTTGTCCTCTCCTTGTTCGTCTCCGGACTCCTCAGCTCGCTCAAGCATTTCAAAAAGTTTGTCAACGAGAGAGTCTCCACCTTCTGATTCATTAGCCTCCAACTGTACATCTTCTTCAACTTCTGCGGACTTTCGTGTTTCCCAGTCATCGGGTGAGTTGAATTCTTCAGAACTGGAGTAAAAAGCCCTCATGATCCAACTTTCATCGTGATTTTTTGGACTCTCATAGCGAACTTCTTGGACATCCTTGAGAGTAGCCTTAGCTGCAGGTTGTCCAACAGCCAATCGCGCTTCAGCCACCAAACTCTCACTATGATCAGAAGGGGAAGGGATGTATTGACTCTCAGAGGACAACGGAGCAGAAAGTGGCATTATGGAAACACAGTCGGGAGGCGAAAATTGCGCTTCATCTGGAGAAATGCTGCTTGTTGGGACTGTGTTAGATTTGTTAGATAATGGCTCTGTTAGATAGGAAAATCCAGGTTGCACTGAAGACGAAGCGTGAATATTCAGAGTTTCCATAGGCACATCGAGCATTCCAGCGCTATTACTATCTACATCTTCGAGATACTTTGACATGGAGACGTGAGAATCGTAAGAGTATTCCAGCATGGGCGTTGAATCATCGACTTCATAAGATATTCCAGTATAAACGGGAGGAACCAGAAAAGACGGATTATCGACGGGTGCATTAAGATAAGAGCTTTGTCCAGGAACATGATAAGAAGTTGAAGGTTGATTCGGATCGCATTGAGCTTGAGGAGTTTGACGAGATTCTTTCGAATCGTGCTGTGAAGGGCTCGGCATGGAGGCGAATTGATAGCGCGCAGACGCGAAAGTCTATGTTGGACTAGCTGAGTCGTAGACGCAGAGTGATGTTTTCATCGTGGGTGGTCTGGATGGGTGGTCTGGCACTTATCGTGTGCTAAAGACTAACGACTAGCAACAGCACTTCGGGCGCTTTGCTCTGTGCAGAATATGACCTTATCAATAAAGGTATCATAGTTTGTTATTGATCTATAGGTCACAAAAGGTTTTTATACTAATAGTGCAGGCACAAAAATCTTCCGGATGTTCAGTAGATCGACAGATATTAATTTGGATTGAAGTAATATGCTTTCAATACATGATAAAATGGTATTGTACATGTAAGTCATGAAGTTAGCGGTTTTGGGAATCGTAAAAACGTCATCTTTAAATTGGATTTTGCTTAAAAATTTGATTTCTGTGGCCGATTTATTGGGTTGATTGCACTTCTTATGAAAAAGTAATTGTTTTTCCTTTTTTGAAAACTAGCAATGATCGTGTGTGATAAATGATAAAGTTACAGCTTGTTGTCACTGAGATCTTAAACATATTTAGAGGTCTCTATCCTCGATCGTGGACGTGTTATGACATTCGAGAACTAGATTTGACGGTAGTTATTCGGCAAGTTTCACCAGTGCTGCCTAACAATTATGAGGTAACTTGCTTTTCTTTTCTTCGAAAATCTTTATTTCGAGGTGGTTTCATGCCAATTTTTTGTGTATTGCAATCTTTGAAATACTTTTTGTAGCATCATGTTGTCAATTGTAGAATGAAGTAAGGCTAATTTTTGATAATCTTTTGAAATTGCAACATTTTGCTGTACTTTCTTTACAGTGTTTTTCATGTTGAGCACTATTGCAGAAAATCTCTTATTTCCGAATTACCTATCAAATTATTGCATATTTAGGACTCCAGTCTACCTGTTAGCTGTTTTGTTGTGACTGTTGAGAATAATAGCGGTACTGACCTGGAAGTATCGATTGCTTTCACCTTTCGGAATGGTACGGGAAATCGCCGTTGGGAAAACGAGTCTGTGTGCACTTTCGCGAGGTTCACAGATGGAAATGGTGACCTTTCTGGATGTGAATTTTGATTATGAAAATGGCAAATTTGATATTCAGTCACTGGTGTCACGTTAGCGCATACAATTTCACAATTAGCATGTACTTATGGCATTGCGACAACGTCCAAAGTGAGTTTGGAAGATACCTTGTAT